AGAATGTAAGAGGCAAATAATCATATTTTTCAATTTTTAATATTTTATTCTATTTCGTCAGAGATAACGTAATATTATATTTGTGAATATATAATTCTAGTGTTCTAATGTAGAGTTCTAATGTTTTTATACAAATTTTATATTAATTTATGCTATTAATGAGAAACTTCAATCTTCTGTGATAATGAGACTCAGAACAGGATATATGATCGTATAAATTTAACAACGCAATAATTTAAAACGATTGAATCGTTTCGTCTTACGATTTATTATTAAATACCAGTCACAATCCCTTGTTCGATTATTATTATAACAACTTGTATGTTTCTGTAGCTTACTATGAAGACAAATAATATTAATAAACCTCACGTTGTTTACACACCCGAAAAACTAACGCTAGTCTTTGTCTTCGTACAATGATAATCCAAAAGGAAAAACGATTTACGCATACAAAGCGATAGGTTTTTCGAAGGTGTGACCTATTATATGTCACTCTACTGACCTGCTGTATAAATTTCGCTGCGTAATGCTGAATTTACTTCTGCCACGTACTTACTACCCCACGCACCCTACAGATGTTATTTAATGCTAGGGTAGACTGTAGCATATCACCTGAGTAGAAACAACCCTCATATATTTTTGTCTGACAATAACACGACCCTCGAAAGGACCCCCAATATCAGAGTCTCTTTTCGTCCTCTCATATATCACCAGCTTATTTTACAATATATATGTGTGTGTGTATATATATAGCATATAAATAATGCATAATATATATATTGTATATAAAATTTGCATATATAAAATATTGTTAATTTTATAATCTCTCTTTTGTTTTGTTTGTTAAGAAAAAATAGACTCTAATTTAGCTAAAAATCTATAGTCAAAAGGATATCCTCGACACATTTTTTGTGTACAATTTTAATAATTGCACAATTTGATGTCGTTCAGATTCTTGAATTGTTTAACGTAGAGTGTTAAAAATTTATAATAAAAAAATGAACAGTTTAACAATGCAGATTTCTGCATGTGTTCTGGATAAATGGTAGGATGTGAATATTGATCAGACCAAGTAGTAAAAGTCAGTATGGGGTCCGCCATCTGTGCGCATCGAACTTAAACTACACGGGCTATAAGAACGCCTCGTATGACATATGCGATTAGATGTTCCCAAAGCAGTAAAAAAAGTGATTTATTACACTTCTTTATCTTGCATGTATTTTTAGTGTGCTTCTAACGATATCACATGAATGCAGAAATCCGCGGAGGATATTTCAAGATACGTGTACAAATGCGAACGCGAGTAACTGTAAGACTTTGAGAAATCGTCGATTAATCGCAAATTTAATTAACTCTCAATCGGACGAGAATGAAATGCAGATATAATCACAGATAGTCAATTGTTGAAAAATATACGTTCTTTCAAATTATCAAAGTTTTGTACAGAAAGATGTATTTAACCGATAACCTAACTCAAGCTCGATACATTGATAACTCAAGATGCCTACATTAATACTCCTTTCTCCAACTTTACGATGAATTCCGATAACCAATCGCATTGTGTCTACGTAGCGATAAAGCTTTATTATTTATCGACGTACGCCGAAGAATGCCCCGGGGAAGCATGGCGCGCTTCGCATAGAGACAGACATTTCGTCCGTCATATAAATTTCTAATAAACAATTGCGCTTTCTTTGCGCTAGGACCCCCAACCGTGAACTACGATCCGAGAAAATATTGCTCGGGAATGTATAGAATTATTACCGTAATAAATTTTAACTTTGATATTCATAACTTCCTCAAGTTCTTCTTTTCTCGCGAGTTTATATTACGCAACGCAACCGCAAAAGTAAATGTATGTTTTATTTATTGAGAACACTCCTTCGCTTTCGTTGATTTATAAAGATAATCCCTCGTGATTTGTCTGATTTAAATTGTTGTGGAAAGAAGAAACTTTTAATTTTAATGATTATAGCGACAGTTAGTTTAAGCTTAGGAGTAAAATTATATATATTAATCGTTATTTTGTATCCACTTTGAGATGCGAAAAGTTGATAGAACTGTCATCAATCTCTCTTGAAGCGCTGCATTAATAATATTTATTAAATGACAATAAAGATTGATGCAGCGCCGTCAAGTACGTTAATTCTTCTTTTGACATATTGAGCGTGGTAAACGACTGATAAGGCGAACGAATAAAATACGCAATGCTTTTTAAACTCTTTTCTTTTTGTTTCATATTGAGCCATCTATTATAATATTCGATTGAACGATCCGACACTCATCGTTATGCAGAAAATAAAAAATATCAGTCTAGTTGCCGAAAAATACTCATCGTGGACGAGTTTCGCTTGATACATAGCGTGATTTTTTTCGTACAATTTTTTGAAATAAATTGCTACATTGCATCTAATGTAAGCGATGAACTATCGAATATTTTATCAGAAAGCCGTGCCAATTATATGCATGCATGAAACATAGCAAGTACTTACACAGAGAAGTGGTACAGGAAGCACTTCCAGCCGGTGGGACGCTCCAGGAAGTTGTAAACTTGACCCTGGAAGGTGGCTTTCCCGGCACGTCGATGTTCCTTCACGTGGTAGCGACCTTCCCAAGCGCGATCACCGCCGGTTCCCAGTAATAGCCTTGGATCGACACCTGAAAATTTATTAATTTGATAAAATCTCTGATAAAATTATGAACAATTTCGCGACAAGTCACAATTAATTTTTTTTATGCACATATTTGATAGCAATTAATAAAAAAGTATTTCTTTCGATTGAATTAATATAGAAATTCGCAAAATACAGAGTATAATTTTCTTAGAAAAAACGGCACGATGAAAAACGGTTGCGTGATTTTAAACAACTAAACGCTTATGTTGACTACAACTTCGAAAAGACGTTGACGTATCACTATTATCACCTTTTCTGCGTCTATTTTCGGTGCACTTTAGCTTTGTTTTCTTTTTCATCAATCCTTGCCATATTGTAACTGAAATCCCCTGCTGAAACGCTTCCGATGGCAGGATATAGGTTCACATACCCTATCGCGGACCGAAAGTGAACGAAACTAGATCGATATTTAAAGAATATACACCGGGGATCCCAAAAATTGTAATTAATGATACCACCTAATAATAGAAAAATTTTTCCGATCTAGAAAGAAAAATATTTTATTTGTTTGTGTAAATATAAGCATGACGCTTAATTTTATACAAGACAATTCACAATTTTACCAAAACAATTTATTCTAATTATTGTTAAATTCGGTCATTAAATTGTAATCAGAGCATTTTTTTCATACTGTCGATAACTGATAAATTTTTATATTTTATTTTTAAAAATTTAATCAA